TTCATGCAGAAGGAGCAAAAGGCAACACAGAAGGAAATCCAGGCTGGGAGTCAGGGGAAGCAAACCCAGTCCTGGATTACTTTAACGGGGGTGTGACCTTGGATATACCACCTCTCTTCTCCTGGACTCCGTTTGCTTCTCTGTAAAAGAAGTGGGACAGACCAGATTGTTTATAAGGTTCCTTCTAGCTGAAATATTGCATTGTGCAAAGTTTGACACTGAAAATAAATGACCTATGAACTAGGAGGTCATGGTTCAATTCCTGATCAAGGCACATGCCCAGGTTGTGGGCTTGATCCCCAGTAGGGGGCGTGCAGGAGGCAGCCGATCAATGATTCTTTCTCATCATTGATGTTCCTACCTCTCCCTCTCCCTTCATCTCTGAAATCAATAAAAAAATATATTTTTTTAAAAAAATAAAGAAAATAAATGTCAGTTAAGGGAATGTAATAAGCATCTTGCTCTGTCTGCAGGTCTGTGGTCTGCAGGTGACTCACTCCAGGCTGGGCCACACCTCCTCCATCATGCACACTTCTACACATGTGCATACCATATGCACACCATGCACACACAGAGGCCATGCCAGCCCAGGGCCAATCTCTACAGCCAGAGAAGAGCCAGGCAAAGAGGGGCAGAGAAGTGTAATGTTTACTACCTGGCTGTTTGGGGTTTTGCCAACCCCTTCCCTACACAAGTTCTGCGTCCCCTGCCTTTGGTAAAACCGGAACTCCTACTGTGGTCTCAGAAGCAGCACCAGCCTTCAACTCTGGACTCCATCGCCGAATGACAGTGATGGGGACAAGGCAGCCATTCTCCTCTACCCACTATTCCCACTTCCCTCTTCCTAAATGCTCCCCTTCTTCCTAACCCCCCTTCAAGGTCTCTAGAAGCTTCCCTTTCCTATTCCATTCCCCCTCTCTTTCCCACTCCTGACCTGTAACACTTCATTTCTGAGCCCCTTGCAAGGCACTCAATGTCACTGTCTTGCATGATTTGCTTGTGTTTTGCCCTGATTGCTTCCCCACTGGGACTGGGAAGCATATGAAAGGTAGAAACTACATTCTAACTGTTGTTCCAGTATCCCCAGCACACCAAGGAGGGCCGGGCCCAGGTGGCTGCTAAGAAGATGGGAGCTATTGAGGTCCAAATCAGAGCATAGCACATGATGACCACCCTGGGTCCCCCTCCACGTGCACAGTCTGCCATTTCTGGAGGGGACCTGGAGCAAGGTGTCCCTGCACCAAGAGAAATACTTTGCTCCATGCACCCCAAGCCTAGAAGTGCTCATGACTTCAACACTAGAACAACTCAAAGCCCAACTCTACGGAAAGGTTCCTCAAGGACTGGCACTGTTTCATTTTCCCCTCCAGGGAGTGTCCCTGGCAGGGTGAATCAAGGAGCTGGGGCTTTTAAAGCATGTGAAAAAGCCCAGCCAACATGGCTGTAGTTGAGTGTTGACCTACGAACCAGGAGGTCACGGTTCGATTCCAGGTCAGGGCAAATGCCCAGGTTGAGAGCTCGATCCCTAGTGTGGAGCCTGCTGGAGGCAGCCGATCAATGATTCCCTCTCATCATTGATGTTTCTATCTCTTTCTCCCTCTCCCTTCCTCTCTGAAATCAATAATAATTTTTTTTATTAAAAAAAGCATGTGAAAAAATTTTTTTTTTCCTGAGTCTGTCATTGCTTAGGGTTCAGCGATCACAGAGGCAAAAAGCAGGTAGTGGAAGGGGGGCCGATGCAGTGGAGACGCTGTTCACTGTGGCTGCCGAAGCTGGGAGATGGGGTGGTTTCCTGCTGTGGGGGCCAAGAAGCAACATCTGGATAAAAAGCTTGGCTGAGGCCACTTGATCTAATCTCCTCAGGAAGGTAAAGGCGGTGGAAAATCAATACAGCAGAGAAGGGGAGGTTGGGAGGGGACAGGAGGGGCCTCTTACCTCAGGCAGCCTGAGTAAGAGCCTTGACATTCAGGTTCCTTTCCTGCTAAGCACGTGAACAGGTGAACCAGCATGCGAGTTAAGTGGAGCCTTTCTCATAACCATAGCAACAGGCACATTGAGAAGACAGGGAGACCGAAATGCTTGCACTGCCCAGTGGGTGCCCCTCCCAGCGCCCCAGGACAGATTCCACACCGCTGGCCACGGAGATGACAGGCAGCAGCCTATCATCCCTACTTTGGGAGGCCCCCTGGAACCCCCATGATTCCCTTGGTAAACCTGTTCTGCAGTATCCTCTCCTGTCACACAAAATAGGAATTCACTCTCTCCTTTCCTCCACTGCACCCTGAGGAATTTAGCTTGCACCCACTTACTGGGCACTTAAAGATGCAGGCTGGCCCTAGCCGGTTTGGCTCAGTGAATAGGACGTCGGCCCACGGACTGAAGGGTTCCGGGTTCAATTCCAGTCAAGGGCAGTGACCTCAGTTGCAGGCTCAATCCCGGGCCCAGGTCATGCTGCTGCGGGAGGCAACCCATTGATGTGTCTCCCTCACATTGATATTTATCTCTCTGTTTCTCCCTCTCTTTTCCACTCTCTCTAAAAATCAATGGAGCCCTAACTGGTTTGGCTCAGTGGATAGAGCGTCGGCCTTTGGACTGAAGGGTCCCAGGTTCTATTCCAGTCAAGGGCATGTAACTTGGTTGCAGGCACATCCCCAGTGGGGGGTGTGCAGGAGGCAGTTGGTCGATGTTTCTCTCTCATCGATGTTTCTAACTCTCTATCCCTCTCCCTTCCTCTCTGTAAAAAATTAATAAAATATATTTTTTAAATAATAATAAAAATAAAAATCAATGGAAAAATATCCTCAGGTGAGGATTAACAAAACAAAACAAAAAAATGCAGACTGTCAGGCACCTTGACACATCTAAGTCCTGGCACCACTGTCTTTGTTGCTTAAGCCTAAAGGAACTGTACTTCAGATCCACGGTGGTAACTTCTCTGTTGCCTCAAAGGGAGGGTTGAGCCTGGGACTGGGTGGCCCGGTCCCAATCATGAGGTATGTGCTAAACTCCACATGTTAGCTTTAAAGCCATAGAGAGCTTGGAGGTGAGACGCTGTGGAGTTGAGCTTTGGCAAGATGCCCTGCTTTTAGGCAGATTGTAAATTATAAATAAGTAAAGCGTCTCTGTTTTTCTTCCTTTGCCCCAGCATGTGGTGAAAAACAACAGAGCCCTGCCTGCAGTCCTGTTTCCTCCTCGGATTGGCTGCTCAGTCACAGGCACTGGCTTTATTATTGTGTCGGCATCTTACTTAAACCCACAGTTCCCAGACATCAATTTAGCGGATCCTCCCTCGCCCCACGGAGACCTGGATGCACCCTCACAACTAGCCATAGGCTCACTGTTGTCGTGGGGCAGGTGTGACTGTGGACCACCAGCCTCCCTGGTGACCATGTGAAACAACCAGGCTTTGGATAACTCAGCAGAAAAAGCAACAGCAGGAATTCAGAGCCCCCACGGGAATAGCTAATCCCAGAGAGAAATTTTAGCCAGTGTTATACCTGCTGTGATGTTTTTCCACAAGCATCCAGTGAAAAGGAAACAAAGAGATTCGTTCTGGGTTTAGGGAATACTCCAGACATGGGAGAAACCAGCCTTTACTGAGGACAAGCAAATCCTCCCACTTGGCCTCTGGCTGCCTCCGTCCATCAAAGGGCAGTGCATTCTCCTCTGTCCATCACGGTTGGCAGGGAGAGTATAGCAGGTGCTGCTCCTGTCCTCCCTCCCTCTCTCCCTCCCTCCCTTTGTGACCTTCACTCCAGGGCCTCGTTTGTGAACGGGCTTCATGTCTGAGAATCGGGCCTGTTTCCCAGGGCTGCTGAGAGCCATGGTAAGGATGGCTTAAAACCTGCAGACAAAGGAGAGTTCAGAATCCAGCAGCGGGAGACCACAGCAGGTGTGGGGGGAGGTGCGGAGGGAGGTCCTGGTCACCCTCTGCCTTTAGCTCCATCCCACTCCATGCTGATGGCTGGGTCTCATACCAACATGTTACAGGGGGTCCCTGCCATCAAAGGCCCGAGACAAACAGAATTTACTCCTCTATGAGTCACAGAGGGGACCCAGCCAAAATATGTTGATGATCAAATCATTAGGGTTCCCAGTTTTCTTCCCCAGTCAAGGTGGCATTTGCTCTGACTCCAAAACCAGAAACAGTAAGTGACAGGCTTTTTTTAATTATTAAAAAAAAAAAAAAGCATCAGCTGTAGAAAACTAACACTTGCCTCAACGAAGTAACATTTTATTTCCTGGGGTAAAAACAAAGAGAATGACTTGTCAGAAGTCTTCCTCCAACATCATTAACATGCTTTTCGAAGGAAGTTATAAGAATTGTTTAAGGCGCACAAAAAAAGTCAGACTTGCCTTTCTTCCAGAACATTCCCTGCCCTAGATGCACAGCACCGATACTACATCCCAGAAAAGAGAGAGGCTTACAGACACAGGAACCAGACCCTGTACCCAGGGTCTCTGACTATACATTTCACAGAAAAACATCACAGTAACTCTCCCTTCCATAAAGACAACATATGTCCAGAAAAATATATCCAAAATATCTTCATCTGAACTACAGTACAAAAACCCACTCACCAGCCATAAAAATATTTCCCCCTATACACAAATACAATCATATGTAAAGCAAATGTGGAACACATGGATGGGGGTGAGGGGAAAGGTTATAAAATCCCTTGGGATCTGGGCTATTTAAAGTCATTTTTGTTTGAGTTATTCCTCTGCTGGGTATAGGAAACTGGCTACAAATACATCCATCTCATGGCGCTCACCATTTTAACAGCTCTTGCGTCATGGAATGTGGTACTTTTTAAAAATAGGCGACCCTTGGTGTCATGGAAAGAAGAGGAAAAGTGGGGGGATCCAGGGAAAGAGGGAGGGAGGGCAGGAGCGAAAGGAAGAGGGGCAGACTTGGGTAATGGGGTGGGTTTGAAATACTCTGTGGTATAATGTAGATGCCCAGGCTCGGGAGGCTTCAGCCATCCCACCAGATCCCCCTTACAAATCTGTCTCCCGGCTGGTGTCCAGGCAGAGGGCATACAGGGACCTCCGCAAGTCCACATTGCTCTTGGCCTTGAGGTTACACTTCTCTAGAGGGCAGCTGCCCCCTCGGGCCCCCTCCGCATTCTCCAGGGACCCCTTGCAGAAGGACCCCTTGTTCCAGCTGGCCTTCCGCTGGCCTCTGCCGTCCAGCCCTGTCCCCTGGCTCTGGCTGCCCTGCTCCTCCTTCAGGGCGGCCAGCTCCTCGTGGCGGTCCGACTCCCGGTGGTCCGTCTCCCGGTGGTAGAAGTAGTTGAAGTTGGAGACAATGACGGGCACCGGCAGGGCGATGGTGAGGACCCCGGCGATGGCGCACAGTGAGCCCACGATCTTGCCCCCCACGGTGACTGGCCGCATGTCCCCGTAGCCCACCGTGGTCATGGTGACGACCGCCCACCAGAAGGCATCGGGGATGCTGGAGAAGTGGGTGTGCTGGTTGTCCGCCTCTGCGAAGTAGACTGCGCTGGAGAAGAGGATGACTCCGATGAAAAGGAAGAAGATGAGCAGGCCCAGCTCCCGCATGGAGGCCTGCAGGGTCTTGCCCAGGATCTGCAGCCCCTTGGAGTGGCGGGAGAGCTTGAAGATGCGGAACACGCGGACCAGACGGATCACTCTGAGGATGGCCAGGGACATGGCCTGCTGCCCGTTCTGGCCGCCCCCCGGCTGTGGCTCCGCCAGCTCGGTGCCCAAGGTGATGAAGTAGGGGAAGATGGCCACCACGTCGATGACATTCATGATGTTCCGACAGAAGTCGGCCTTGCTGGGGCAGGCCAGGAAGCGCACCAGCAGCTCGAAGGTGAACCAGATGACGCACGTGGTCTCGACAATGAAGAAGGGGTCGGCCAGGGTCCTGGGCAGGAGAGGCGCCACCGTGGGACCAGAGGAGGGCGCCCCGGCCCCGCTGCCATTGGCCCCCCGCTCCGGCCCCGAAGGCGGGTGGGGCGCCTGGGGGTGGCGGAGCAGCTCCCGCTCATCCCTGAATTCGGGCAAGGTCTCCAGGCAGAAGGTGATGATAGAGATGAGGATGACCAAGACCGAGACGATGGCGACGGCCCGCGCGGACCCCGAGCTCTCTGGATATTCAAAGATAAGCCACACCTGGCGCTGGAACTGGTTGCGGGGCAGGGGTTTCTCCTCTTCTTTAATGAAGCCCTCGTCCTCCCGGAAGCGCTCCATGGCCTCGTCCCCCAGCTGGTAGAAGCGAATTTCGTCGGCGAACACGTCCAAGGAGACGTTGACCGGCCTGCGCAGCCGGCCCCCCGACTGGTAGTAGTAAAGGATGCCGTCGAAGCTGGGCCGGTTGCGGTCGAAGAAGTATTCGTTGCGCAGGGGGTCGAAGTAGCGCAGGCGCCTGGCGGGGTCCCCCAGGAGGGTGTTGGGGAACTGCGCCAGGGTGCCCAGCTGCGTCTCGAAGCGCAGCCCCGAGATGTTGATGAGGACGCGCTGGTGGTGAAGGGCCTCCGCGCTCGGCACCGGATCCTCCGCCGCGCCCTGGGCGGGGTCGCCTTCTCCCTCCTCGTCCCCCGTCGGAACCTGTCCAGGCTGTGGCTGCTCCGGGGGCAGCCGTGGCCAAGGCCGCCCTCCTGGCTCCGAGCTCCGGGGCGCGCCGCATCCCCTGGGCGCCGGCCCTTTGGGTCCATCGCAGAGCGCAGCCGTCGAGGGGCACTGGAGCTCCCCCGCTGTGGCTTGGCCACAGCCCACCCGGTCCTCACCTCCTCCTCTGACGGTCATGGCCCCGCCGTTCTCCAGGGGCACCAGGGAGATCTCCATGGCCCTGGGGCCCGGGGCATGCTGCGCCCCTGGATCCGCTCCCGCGCCCCACTCACACCCCGCGAGAGCCTGGCATCCGGCTCCTCTCCCGCCGTCGGCTGGCTCACAGTGAGGCGGGCTGGGGTTGCTGGCGCGATCCCCTCGCTAGGTCCTGACGTCAAGAAGCCGCTGCCCAGCTCTCTGCCTTTCTCTGGGTTCTGGCAGCCCGTTACCAAGCAGCCAAAAACCTCCTTCCAGCAGATGCAACCTTCAGCCGCCCCTCCCGGCTGCGCGGCGGCGCCCGGCCTCCCCTTGGCGCGCTTCCCCGCCTCCTCCCTTCCCCTCCCCTCCTCTTCCTCCGCCTCCCCTCCCGGGTACCCAGACAGCTAGCGTCTCTCCGGAGGGCGCAGCGGCGGCCCTAAGCAGGGGAGGGAGGAGGGCTGAGAAGGTCGCAGCAGGGCGAGGGAGGGAGGTTGGGAGGGAGCGGGGAGGATGGAGGAACAGGTTGTACCTAGAGCGCTGAAACTCCCAGGGCAACCAGATGAGAATAGCTCGGGATTTCAGTTCACCTGGGAGCCCGCTGAACACAGAGTGGACTCGAGGGGGAATGAGTTGTCATGGGTTGAAGGGATAAATCTTTGGCTGCGTCGGAGTAAGAAAGAAGAGGCAACAGTCCTTTTCACATTTCTGCCTTGGAGGAATAACGGTTCTCTCTTCTCTGGGAAACATTTCACACTGGAAGGGGCGTGGCAGAGCTATGGGCCTTGAAAGATGAGATAGATAGATGATAGATGATTGATAGATAGATAGATGATTGATAGGTAGACAGATTTCCAAACCAATCGAGAAGCATGTCTCTTCCCAACTCCTAACAAACCCACCAAGAGGTAACAGGCTGCAACCTTGCCCTTACCCGGGGAAAGCCCTCATTCCCAGTCCAGGAAGCAGTGGTCAGCAGTGCAGTATGCCAAGGCTGCGAGTTTGATCCCTGGTCAGGGCACATACAAAAAGCAACCCATGAATGAATAGATACGTGGAACAGCAAATCGATGCCCCCCCCCCTCAAATCAATAAATAACATTTTTAAAAACACCTTAACAGGAAAGGGGAGGAGGGATAAAGAAATCCTGGTGAGAGCTGTTGCTGCCTGGTGAAGGGAGCTAGCCACTGCGTGGAGGTCCGTGTAGGGACAGTGTACCTGAGAGAACCAGAGACGTTGTGGAAGCCCCCAGGGCTGAGGAACTCCCAGCAGTAGAATAATAACCAGCATATACTTTGCTCTTATGATGCACCAGGCTCAGCAACCTGTTTTGTAAGAACTAATCTTATCCTTATTTTATAGATGAGGAAACTGAAACACAGTGAGACTGAATAGCTTGCCAAGGTCATACAGGTAGAAAGAGGCAATGCTGGGATTCAAACTTAAGCAAACATCGATGAGTCTCTTGCTCCCTCCACTCCACTCCTCTATAGAAATGTGTAATCCCCTTTCCAGATGCAAGCACTCTCTCCCCCCAACATGGGATGCCTGAGGGCTTAAGTTCCCTCCTGCAGGAGGCAAGGGATGGCTAAGATAACAGCTAAGTCCTTCTGGGTTACTGCACTGGGCTATCTGCCCCTGCCCCAGCTCCTGCAGGGTTTCAGTGGGCATCTATAGCCAAGGGAGATATCTTTCAAGGCAATTCTGACAGTTCCAGATGTTTGTTGGTTTTAAGTTACCGTAAAGTCACTGTGTTTTTTAATGTCTGATTAGTTTTGTTCCTATATGTTGTTTGGGGTTTATGTGTGTGGATGTTACAGTCTCTTATCTGCCATCTGCACAGACGGGATGTTTTGGAAACTTGGTACCAGGTGCACAAGTGTTAGTTGAAATAGCAGGGGGTGCACATACCAGGCCCGTGTCTGGGTTGGAGAAGTGTATGTGCATGTGGCTTTTTGAAGTGTGAGAGTGGACGTGATTTCAGCAGGTGGAAATGTTTTCATTGTGTGTGACTTGTGCATGTGATTGGCTGTCCTTGCAGATGTGCATGAGTGAGGAAGGGGCATGGAAGTGAAAATCAGTATGTGGAGGCATCACTGGTTGACCGAAGGGCCTTGCACTCCCCTCCCCAGACCTCTGCCATTCCTGCTCCGTCTGCTCTGGGTTTTTATTTTCTCTGGCTCTGAGGTTGCCAGTCAGGATCAGGTCTGCCCTTGGGGAGCCTGGGGCTTACTGAGCTGGCAAAGGGTGCTCTCAGACCCCTGGCCTCGCTTCTTGTTTACTGACTCATGCATCTTGTAAATACAGGGACACCACATTGGTTCACAGGGCTCTTCCTGGGCTCCCAAAGGAAAAATGTTCTCTGGACCTTGTCTTCCAGGGGGAGACTATTTCCCGAAGAATCAGCACAACATAAACAGTCCTGGAAAAGCACATAGGCCAGGCTTCCTTTAATGTGGTAATTTCTTAAATCTGCTTTCCATACATTTATTGCCTTCGTAGATTCCCTGCAAAATTGCCTCCAGATGTCACATGTGGCAGCCATGGGTGTATACTGCTAGGTTCTCCCTTAAACAAAGAACTTACTTTTTAGTTTCAAGGAGTACAGTTAGCTGACAGCCTCAGCTGGTAGTGTTAGGGGCAGAAATAGAATATTGGGGACTAGCTGTTAATTATAAGAAATACTAGAGGCCTGGTACGCAAAATTCATGCACTCAGGGGGTCCCTCAGCCCGGCCTGCGCCCTCTCACATTCAGGAGCTCTCCGGGAATGTCCAACTGACAGCTTAGGCCCGCTCCCTGTGCTCGCCACCTGTAAGCCTGGCTTCTGGCTGAGCAGTGCTCCCCCTGTGGGACTGCACAGACCACCAGGGGGCAGCTCCTACATTGAGCGTCTGCCCCTAGTGGTCAGTGCACATCATAGCAACCAGTCATTCTACCATTCTGTCGATTTACATATTAGCCTTTTATTATATAGGATTCATCGTTCTCTGTTAACTGTGATTGTTTTGTTCTGATTAAAGAAAGCACATTCTAACCAGGCTGAGAGTTTCACACCCCTGGGACCTGGGAGTCAACCTTGGAATGTGGTCCATTCTCAACCAAGAACTGACTATTATCATGGAAAGATTAACAACCTTATTGCCCAAACAATGGAGGCCCACCCCAGCCCACAATGCCTGTAATCTGTAACTGTCACACCCATTCTTATTCCTTTTGCCTACCTCCCCATGTAAACTGATTTATGGGGGGTGCAGAGCGGATTTTCATGGATGACCTGCTGCTCTCCCATGCTGCTGGCATTATTGGAATAAATGCTCATATAAGATTCAACCCTGTCTCTGTTTATTTGGCTTAAGTAGTGACAGGCAGCCCAGACCCACAGGGTTACAAGGATGGGCCATTTCTGCCCAGTGCAGACTTGGCTGTTTTCCCAGTCCCTTTTCTATCACTTTGGTAAACCAGCTATTTCAAATCACCCCCATCACCCTGAATCTCCTCTCCATCACAAAAGGAAAGTGAAGAAAACCATCTTAGCATTTCCTCTACAAGGGAAGCTGTCACCCCCACACTGGGGAGACTTGTTCTTCCCCACTTCCCCATAATTCCTCAGTTAGCATCTTTGTAAGCAAACATGGAGGTATTGGGAGTCAGAGGAGAGGGCTTGGGACTTCTTAGGCTGGACCGGGGAGAGACAACAGAAGGCAGCATAGATAAAATTCACCAAAATGCCTTTAAACAATTTTTAAACATATATCTTTATTGATTTCAGAGAAGAAGGGAGAGGGAAAGAGAGATAGAAGCATCATTGATGAGAGAGAATCATTGACTGCCTGCCTCCTGCATGCCCCCACTGAGGATCTCGCCTGCAACCCAGGCATGTGCCCTTGACTGGAATCGAACCCAGGGCCCCTCAGTCCGCAAGCAGACGCTCTACCCACTGAACCAAACCAGCTAGGGCTAAACAATTATTTAAAAAATGGTAGGCTGGGTCTTCCTGCTCAGTGTTACAAAGTGTGGATTCTGAGGTGCATTACTATTAAATAAGATATAGCAAGGCTATGTTGTCAAGCAATGATTGGATCGAGTATTATTAATCAGCAAAAGGGTAAAGCCCTCTCTCACCTAATCCTGTCCCCCAGATGCACTCCATATAGATTTGTAGTAAAAAACATTTTAATGAGGGGAGCAGCTGTCCTTCCTCTCCCTCCCCTGCCCTCTCACTTGCCCCTCAATGCAACACCTTGGGAAGGAAGCCCTGGAAATGACCTTCCTTTCCTGTTTGATGGAAGCGTCAAAGGTGAAGTAAAGCAAAACACATGAACAAAACAAACGTGTTTGTGGGGTGTGGGGAGAGAAGATGTGTTTACTGTGCTGAGAGATGGAAGCTGGAGAAAAGGCTGGGGGTTAGAGGAGAGGGAGAGATTACGCTTAAGTTGACCCAGATCTGACAGAGGCCTCAGGCGGACTGTTCTCATGTCCTGTTTAGAGGGATTAAGATGAGAGGCCATTCACAAATCAAGACTCACATCTGGAGCTTGGCTTTTCCCCTCCCTCCCTCCTGTCCTCTTTCCCCCTCTCGATATAATCCAGGAATAAATTCATTAATGGATCCAGTGCATTTTCAGAGACCAAACATAGAAAGGAAAGTGACATATACAGGGGCCCGGAGGGCTTGCCTCCCTTTCCGCCTCCATTGACGAGCTGCTGGGTTATAGACGCATTGTGACTATTTTTCTGTCTCTCTTTTGCTCAAGTCCATCCTTTCTTCCCTAAACACATCTCATGATGCTATTCACTTGCATAAGATGAAAACCTTCTAACTTTGAACCAAGAGCTTCATTTGTTGTTAGGGTTGGAGATATTTGAATTGGTTGTTGTTGTTTTTTTACTTTCTCAACAACAGCTGCACCTTTTATTTCCCAACTCTCTGCTTAGGTACCCAAATCAAGGGAAGCAGTAATTGAGTATTTTAGATTCAATTTCCAGCTAAATTATTGCCCACCCTGCATAAATACATATTTATGAATTTAGGTTATGTATCAAGATCTATGGAAAAAAGTATTTTAAAAGTGCTAAGCAAATGTAAGATTGTTTTATTATTATATAAGAAGCATCCCTGCTAAGTCTGGAAAAACCTGTGGTCAATACACAACCCATGCAGGCCAGGAAGGGGTCTGGGTCAGATTAGTTCCATTCCAGCCATACGGGCATTTTAATG